AACTCTCTGCTCTTCCATATCAGTTCTCATTACCTCAGGAAGTGAATTTTTGAAATCCTCCAAAATAATCGTCTCTCTAAGAGTGTCATATATTTGATCCATTTTTAATGCCCTTATCTACCTATCAAAATTACGTTGAGTTTGAAAGGATCAAGCAGTGCATGTCTGACCAGGGTCCCTCCTTAGATTGCTGAAATATTGTTTTTAAGCTCTGGCACAAGCTCATATGCATTTAAGAGGGCTTTCTTCACCTCCTCATACTCCCCAGATACCTCCTCTCATTTTGATGCAAATACAACACTAGCTCTACCGACCAACATTGTCTGAATCAACAAAACACACATGGTCACCGGCCACTTCATTTGTTTAGCTACGTTCTCAAATGAGATGAAAAAGGCTTCTACATCCTTCTCATCAAATTTAGGCAATGCTTCGACATACTTAAACAGGTCTCCACCAGGCCTTTGGCAACAATGGATTTGCTCATCCTCACTAAGCCTACCTTCTACCATCTCCATCCTTTTAAGTCGACATTCCTGTCAAAATGCCAACTTCTGAAGTTCATACTCTTTTTCTTTCTGCTTTTCTTCTCTCTCTTTCTCCCTTTCTTCTGCTAGGGCTTTCCTCTCCTCTTCTTTTTGCTCTGCCAGGGCAATTCTTTCATTTTCTCTTTCCTTTGCTTTTAACCATAATTCAAACTGTTTCAGCTCCCTTTCATGTTAAAGCTGCTTCACCTGCAATTGAATTCTAGCCATTTCAAAAGATTCTGATGGCATTTTCTGCAAAATTAATTGTCGAGCTGTTGCTGTAATTACATCTCCTTTGCTCACATACAAATGCAACCCCAGCTCCAGCTTTTCTGCTAATTCCAACAGCTCTGCCTTGCTCAACTTCTGTAAAACCCCCAACATCATTTCTTCAACCATTAGAAAACTCCGAGTGACCACAAGAGCCATTACTACGCAAAGCTTTGTTTAAATGAAACAAAATCAACACCCGAAACAAAAGACACCATCTGACGTCGTTCCGCCCACCACCTCCACAGCCAGCAGCTCCAGAGGAGACAGTAGCACCCAGCCCTGCCAAGTCTTCACCATCCCCCAAGACCTCCCCCTTACTGAGGACGAACGGTCAGTCCTCAGTAAAGGGCTCACCTTTGTCCCCCTCCACCCACACATCAACGAATACCGCTCACGCTTGGACATAGAGCAGTTTTTCCGCCGCCTCTGCCTCCACGCTTACTTCTTTAACCGTGAGCCTAACCCTCCCTCTACTGACCCCTTCTCCCGCCTCCAACACACCTCGTCCTCCTGGACACCACCCCAAGGCCTCCTCCCCTCTCTTGACCTCTTCATCTCCAACTGCGTCACGACATCGATCGCCTCAACCTCTCCACCCCTCTCACCCACTCCAACCTCTCCCCCGCAGAACGTGCAGCCCTCCGCTCCAATCCCAACCTCACCATAAAATCCGCGGACAAGGAGGGGCGCAGTTGTAGTATGGTGCACTGACCTCTACATCGCCGAGGCCAGACACCAGCTCTCTGACACCTCCTCCTGCCGCCCCCTTGATCATCACCCCACCCCCAACCACCAAACCATCCATAACCTCACCACCTCCCACCCACAGCCTCCAACCTCATCGTTCCCCAACCCCGCACCACCCGCTTCTATCTCCTTCCCAAAATCCACAAACCTGACTGCCCTGGTCGACCCATTGTCTCTGCCTGCTCCTGCCCCACCGAACTCATCTCCATTTATCTCGACTCCATTTTCTCCCCCTTGGTCCAGGAACTCCCCACCTACGTCCGTGACACCACCCACGCCCTCCACCTCCTCCAAAACTTCCGCTTCCCTGGTCCCCAACACCTCATCTTTATCATGGACACCTGCATATACACCTGCATTCCCCATGCAGATGGCCTAAAGGCCTTCCACTTCTTCCTGTTCCGCAGGCCCGACCAGTCCGCCTCCACTAACACCCTTATCCGCTTAGCTGAACTCATCCTCACCCTTAACAACTTCTCCTTCAATTCCTCCCACTTCCTACAGACAAAGGGGTGACCATGGGTACCCGCATGGGCCCAAGCTATGCCTGCCTCTTTGTAGGATACGTGGAACAATCCCTCTTCCAAAGCTAAACTGCTCCTATCTCCCACCTCTTCCTCTATTACATCGATGACTGTATCGGCGCCGCCTCATGCTCCCACGAGGAGCTCGAACAGTTCATCCACTTCACTAACACTTTCCACCCCAACCTTAAGTTCACCTGGACCATCTCAGATACCTCTCTCTCCTTCCTGGATCTCTCTGTTTCCATCTCTGGAAACCGATATCCATTTAAAGCCTACCGACTCCCACAGCTACCTAGAATACACCACCTCTCACCCGCCTTCCTGCAAAAATGCCATCTCCTATTCACAATTCCTTCGCCTCCGCCTCCGCCGCATCTGCTCCCGAGATGAGGCATTCCACTCCC